GGGGGTTCTCAGGACAGCTCTCTGCTGCTTTTAAAGAGCTGGTCAATTTCCTTCCATTGACTGCAACTGACCAAGGCTCTGCATCCCAGGCTTATTTGGGATGGGAGGTGGCCAGGTGGGGAAGTCTAAGTGCCTGGGAGCTGTTGGGGGCTCCCAAGGACTCCGGTTCCACTAACGAAAGGAAAATTACCAGCTCATTAAAAGTAACGGAGATCTGCAACAAAAGCCCCCCAGGCACAAAGAAACAGGAGTCCATTCAGCCTAGCCTCTCCCCCACAACCTGGTCACACCTCCATCCCCAAATCATCCTGGGATGTGCTGAACCCTGGTCAATAAACTGATGAGCAGCTTGGGGAAGAGTGCTCTTAAAAAGCTGCAACAATTCTGGAGCATCTAGCCCCTTGGGAACACAGAAGCAGGGGCCCAGCAGCCCCCTGCCCTATACACACTCAACTAAGCACTTCCAGTCAGGTACACCACACAGCCTTCAGTACAGGGAAGGACTGGGGTTTTACTGGAGTCAGTGTTAATGAGAAGGAAAAGCAGAAAACTGTAACTGGGTTGGGTACTCACTACCATCCCCTGATGGTGGGTCAACAGTACTGAATTGCAGAAAAGGTGACTATTCTACCTAGCAGTGGATGTGCAGACAACTCTGACCCATGACAATAGTGAACCAATTTCCAACCTGTGACATGCTTGGGAGAGTTCAAGCATTATGTCTGTCTGCACCTTAAGAGAGACGTTTTAAAAGTGTCACATTGTAGGACTCTCCCCAATTTCTTGTGTTTGCTAAAGGAAGGGTTTATCTAAGCCAGAGGTCAGTAACCTATGGTCCACAGAACCTTTGGATCCAGCCTGCAGATGTCTTGCATCAGCAGCATTCAGTGGTAGGAAGCTTTGGCTGTGGCAATGGCTGCAGGGTCCTAGCTCCCTCCTACCTCCCTCCGACCTAGGTTGGGTTATTCCATCCAGCCTGCAGCCAAAAAAGGTTGCCTCCCCACATCTAAGCTCCTGATCACCACATTAGAAAGACTTCACATTAGCTCAATGAAAGGTACTTTGTCAGTAGGTCCTACAGCTATCCAGGTGGGATAGAAACATTGTCCAGTAGAGTGATGTTTCCCAAAACAGAACTTTTTCTGTATTCTAATAATTTGATTAAAAAATAATCAACTGGAACTTTTCTTCTACTGCTTCCTCTTCTGTGCAAGGTAGCATGCCTGAAATAAGTGGCTCTCAGTAGGCATGAACAGGAAATGGCTGACTGAAACAGCAGGGAACCTGCCTACTGCGGGCAGTGTGTGTTTTTAAGGCTTTAAAAACAACATACCATACAACAGTTTTTAAAGGCTGCTTCTAGATACAGCATCAGAGCTTGAAGCAGGAGCAGAAAGGAGAAAAGAAAAATAATGCTTACAGCTCTCATCAAAGTCTTGGTATTTTTCAGTTTGACAGGACTTGACATTGTAGGCTGGGAAGAATCATGACAAACTAAGACACAAAAGTTAAAAAAAAAAACCAAAACAAACGAAAAAAAACCCCCAATACAAGTGGCCTCAATATCTTGAACAGCATGGGATTCCCCGGATTCTTCCCTTTTATAATACTGTGCCGTGAACAGCAGTCCAGTATTGTTAAAATATCAGACTCTTCATCTTAGGATAGAGAAGTGTATATTCAACTGGCATGTGCAGCAGTAACAATACACCTCCACCTCACTTCCACAGTCTTTTGCATAACCAAAACTCCACTGGATTTTGATAGAAGCTTAAAAGTTGTAGGAATTTAACATACAGTGGCAAAATTCTCTACCTTTCAATATACACAAAATTCAGATTTTCATATATAAATGGAAAGCAGAATAATGCAGTTGAGAGCCACTACAGGACAGGCCTACCATGCATATCTACCTTAGGCTAATCTGTCACATTTAACTACTAACTCAGCACAGGGACATGCTCTCTCCTTTTGCAGGAGGAATGCCAGAGAGGCACAGACACTCTGGTGCTGCTCCTTCTGCACAGAGAAAGAATATTTTGCTCAGTATATCAGAATGGAGTATATTTGCTCCTCAGCCCCTATACATTTGTTTGGTTTACTTTGCAGTCTGCTGTAAAGAGGGGACAAGGCCCTCTCTCTCCCCACTTTTGAGTTGTCATGAGAGCAGAAAATAGGAATGAGCACTATTCTGTGTTCCCTCCACTGAGTGTAACACGGTGCATCTACACATGCAATTAATGCAGACCGATAAGTTTGGGAGCTTATGGCCCCAGAGATTTTTGCTACTGAGTGCACCATCTGAATGTGCGCCTGGGAGCAAAAAACTCTGGAGCAGTTTATTCATGTGCACCACATGGAGCCTAGTTAGAGCAGTTCAGGCTGGCAAGAGATCCAGTAGTTAGCCTGCCAGCCCAGGGGTGCTCTGACTGGGCTTCACGTGCTGCATGGGAGGTGGCTGATGATGGCTAAAAAATAATTAGAAGTTTGCTTTTAGGAATTGGCTGGTAGGTAAAGTAGATATGCATTAGAATAATGGCAAGGGTTAACTGGTTTCTAAAAGCCTGTTCGTGACAAAGTTTCCTTCAGGGCCCACTGTGTCTGAAGCCAGGAGACACACAAGCTGGGAAATTGAAAACATGTACCACACTGTTCCCTAACATGAGAAGTGGCATTAGGTCATGGTGCCCAACTGCAGAGCCCTTGGGATTTCTGGTTTTGGGGAACAAACTAAATTAAGAGGCCTGGTAAATGACCAGAATAAGAAGTGTGCATGTGATGGGTTTGTTGGAACAAAGGAATATGTTGATACAACAGAATGTGGACAGTCTGATGTCCACTGGGAGACCAATCAATTATGCCTGGGAATGAAGAGTTGTCAGAGGGGAGAAAGAATACAAAAGGAGGGATTTCAGAGCAGCAAAGTGCCCCCAGTGAGGGAACTCAAGGGCACCATGAACAGACGTCACATCACCAGCCCATCTCACCCAGCCCACTGGGAGTAGGGGGGCTCAGTCCTCAATCTCCAGTCTGCTGATATCTGACATTCAAGAAAGAACCTCAGGGTGAAGCTTGCGTACTGGCCAGACATACCTTCTCTCTGTGACAGCCCTAGGACAGGTAGATATAGAATCGAGGTGGGGCAGGGGTGGGGATACCTTCTTTATCTTGCTTGCATTATTCTTATCTGCTATCACTGCTTGCTGGCTAGCCCTGCACCAAAGCACCCTGGCTGTGCCCCCAGCCAGATGGGGCACTGTCTACACATGCACTGATGCACATGAAAATACTTATATTTTACAAGACTACCCTGCTGTGGAGTTTATTAGTTTCATGCACCATAATAGGGGCACATACGTAGACACTGAGATGTTTACTGCATAATTAATTGGTCAACTGCACAGTAAACATCTCATGTAGACACGCTCACAGAGACTGTTACAGAAAGTGGTCTGTGCACATCTGCACGGGGGGAAGGGGAAATACATTTTGTTCCTTCTTTCAGAGCCAAGCAATGGCTTTTCACTCGCTTTGACTCATGCATAAATTCCAACACGGTTAGTAAAAACAAGTTTGTCAGGAATCTATAACCAAAAAATATTAAATAAAAATGGATAAATATAGCAAATATGTTAAGAAAAAATACTGGTATTTAATATTGAGAAAAGAAAAAAAATACAAGAGAAGCAAATGCAAAATCATTCTTGAAAGACTCCCTAGAGGTTTTCCAAACATTTTATAAATATTAGGGATGCACCAATAGAGATTTTTTTGTTCAACACTGATGGCTGATTTTTAAGGAGCCATATGGGCCGATACCGATCTGATTCCCATATGCAGCTGGGCAGCATGGAGACCAGCCTCAGGATGGTAAGTGTGGTGTGGGGAGCAGATGATCGTGAGGAAGGAAGTGGGGCAGGGGCATGTGTTTCCCAGCTGGGGTGGGGCAGGGCGTGGGACAAAGCTGCAAGCAGCTCATTTGGGGGGGGCGGGGGAGGGCTCCTGTTGCTGCACCCACCCCAGAAGGGAATGGGGGCATGTGCCCCCGAATCTGTGTGTGAAGCAGGGTGGGCTGGGGCTGGGCTATACTTAAGGTGAATAGTGGCAGCACTTGGGGGGGCTGCAGACAACCCAAAATTTGCCATAGCCCCCCCAAATCCTCTCCCAGTGACACTGCCGCCCACCCCAAGCACAGCCCGGCACAACCCCCCGTTGGGAAGAACCCAGCCCAGCCCCAGTCCACAGTGGCAGCCTGCCCTCACCCCATGCACAGATCTGGGGGCACACGCCCCCCCATGCCCTCTCAGGGTGTGCACAGAGGTGGGAGCGGCCCTCCCCCCAACGCCCCACGGATGAGTCACTCATGGCTCTGCCCCTGCCCCAATCCCTCCCTCACTGTGGGGGCCTCAATCTTCCACCCCCACTCCCCTTCCCTTCCCCCACCCCAGACTTACCAGCCCGATGCTGCTTTCCAAGTCGCTGGGCTGTGCTCCTGGTCGCGTGCATGCTGTGGCTACATGCATGCACAAGGCATTTATTGGACACATTATCAGCCACATCAGGCAAAAAAAAGCCGATTGCTGATACTGTTAATTTTCCCTATATCATAATGAATGCAGGATCTTATGATACCTGATGTACCTGATGGTGTGTGTTAATCTCAAATGATCAGTTTATGCAGAAATGTAAATATACACATGCCCTATATATGTATATATAAATATAGATGTAAATACATAATCAATTTCTTGTATTTTGTTGCAAACCCATACCTTGTTCAAATAGCATTGTGTGCGAATAATTAATAAAAGTATTGGCCAACATTTTCAAACCTGAATCCTCAAGTTATAGAAGCTAAATATCAACAAAAAAAGTTGTCTTCCAGATAACTTGAATACACACACACATTAATTTTACATAGCTTAAATACAGACTGAAGAATTACATTACTACTATACATTCATTAAGAAAACTCCTTAGACATGATCTGTTCCACAAACCTGCAGGTGCTGTTGACTGAATCTTCAGGACAGTGGTGATGGCACTGACAAGACAGCTTCTTCTGGGGAGGAGCAGGGGCTGTACTCTCACCATCTTCTTTTCTGTTCTCTATGCTTAGCTTGCCAGAACTCCTCAAAGGCATGTTGTCTAGAAAATTGGCTAGAAAAGTAAAGGAAGGAAAAAACATAAGTTTCCACACTGGGTTGCCCAACTCTTGAATACTTCCTCAAAAGTCATTCGTACTGCCCAAAATTTGAGATAATTGTCAGCTTTGTGTGAAGCAAACTATATTAGAAATCCATTAAAGGCTATTTCTTATTAAAATGTGACTCACTATTCTTCTTGTGTATTGTATTTGTTGAGAACCAATGACTTCAGATCAAATTTGGTAGTGCAGCAAAACTGCAATATAGCTTCAAGCTGAAATCTGAAAATCAAACTGACTGTTTTCTTTGGCATCATTTATAATTTCTTTCCAAACTGGTATCATTACCATTAACAGATTCCAAGTTAAATTTTATCTTTGGTTATACCTTAACATCACTTTGCCCTCAGTTATATTTGTATTCACTGGGATTTGCACAGATGTAAAAGACAGGGCCTGGCGCTGTTATGGAAATATGTTTGTGTTTCTAAGGAAGAGTTTGTTGGCATTGAGGGAAGAAGCAGAATTTAGCTCTATCTCTCAATACTATGCTACCTTTTCAAATACCAACATCAGTGAGAAGATCATTAAACAACTAATTTCAATCAAAAAAGCCAGCAGGTGTTACTTTGAGGACATACACTGATCAATATGAAGCCTCAGGAAGTTTGTCAATGCTTTGTAAAAGTTGGGGGCTTAGGGTTCTGTCTCCTTGGAGTGCAAAGAAGGGGAGGGAAAAGTGTCAAATTATTTACCTTTTTTCAGGACCACTCATGGAAACTTTGACAACCAATGTATATGCGAATCTTAGAAACAAAACTGAGCCTGACACTCATTTTCTCACTTTTCATTTCACTTCCTTAGAGTAATGTGCCTTTAAAGGGTCAAAATGTGTGGCCTGGATAGCATGGAGATAACTGGCATTTCTTTTTACTATTGTAACCACAGTTTCTAGAAACAATGCACGTTTTCTTATTTTTGATTCCTAGCTTCTTTCACCCACTCAAACTACACTCTCCTCAAGTGCCCATCACTTTTGCAGGTTGCAAATGAGGATTGTTTCCCAATCACTGGAACTGTTCTGATGCTGACACTGAGGGTTAGGAGCCTGCTTCCTCCACTGCTCCCTTTAAGGAGAACAGAGTGAAAAAGAGACAAAAGTAGTAGGGCTGTGTGACGCTTCCATTGCTGATTCGATTCGGAGGAGATTTGGCCCGATTTGGCGGGCAAATCTCCAAACCCGAATCAAATCAGGAGACCCATTAATCTCTCCAAATCAAATTGGAAGCCTCCAATTCGATTTGGAGAGATTCAGGGAGGTTTATATGTTTTTTCTATGTACCTGGCGATACCAAGCACAGCTTGTGAATGCTGAGGTGGTGGGGTGGATGGAGCGTCCTGTGCAAGCACAGGGGGGTCCCTCATATGCTCAGCAGCGGACCCAGAAGTGGACAGAAGTACCCCCAGCATGCTCCTGTGGGACGCTCCATCTGCCCTACCATCTCAGCATTCATGAGCCGTGTTTGGTACCTCAAGGTACCTAGAAAAACATAAAGCTGCGTCTATGGCCAAATCGCTGATTTTCCAAATCAGAATCGAATCTTGAGATTCAGATTCGGCCAAATTGAATCAACAAATCGAATCACTGTCCTCCTGAATCTGGACAAATCCCAATCCAAATCAAATACTGCCCGCTTCACACACCCCTAAAGAGTAGCTGCCACTGGGCTCTGGTGGTGAGATGCAACAGCACAGAACATCTCAAGTGGAGAGGAATTGTTGGGATGTCTTCTTTGTTTTTCCTACTTACAACCTCCATCTCCTCATGAGGACCCACAGGTGACTCCGTTTTCAGTTGGGACAGGGGACAGGTCACTCCCTTTTCAGGTTGGGACAGTTTTAGTTATCAGTCTTGTATACAGTAAAAGCTCTGTTATCTGTCATCCTCTGGGAATGGGGGATGCCAGATAAGAAAATACGCTGGTTAATTGAGCAGCCCTAGCCACCGCTTCTCCCGCTGCATCTGGGGCGTCCCTCCTCCCCTCCTGCAGTATCGCTGTCCCTCCTGCCGCATCACCGACCATCCTGCAGGCCCTGTGGGACAGGGAAGTGGGCCCCACAGCCCCACGCAGCCTGTTATGCCCCTGGGCCATGGGGGCTCGGCAGCGCAGGCTGCTTTGGCCCCGGCCGTGGCAGCTCAGAGAAACCGGAATTGCTGTGGTGGGCACTTCCGGTTTCACTTTATCTTACAAGCCGGCATGCCGGTTAGTAGAGCATGCCAGACTGTATGTAAGATGCTGGATAGCGCAGCTTTTACTGTACTTCAAAAAAAATGTTTTTTTGCATCTCAGTGAAACTTGCCCAGGAAATGGCTATAATTAGTTGACACAATAAAATGGGGTAAAGGGGTTTGCATTTATTAGTTTTGACGAAAGTCAGGCCTTTTTCAGTAAAGATTTTGATAGCCACCGTTCTAGAAAGAAGTCCTTTGGATTTGGGTCAATTATAGCCATAACACACTGAATTCACTACCAATGACTATGAAAAAAAAACATACAAACCTGATCATGAAAAGGTATCAATAATACCAATACAATGCATGTGACATGCCAACAGAATGCCACAGAACACACATTGTAGAGTATATATAATTTCTATTAATGGCCCATTTAGTATCTACAGATCTCCTGAAAATCAATGAGCGTTTCAGAAATCATCACTTCTGAAAGTCAAACCACAGACTTGTTGTGGTGTACCCTAAACCAGGGGCCAAGATCCTGGGTATCCAGCATTTATATTTAATGTACAACACATCTGTATGTCTTATCACCTTTTTTCTTGGCAAAAATCAAAGATTAAAACTAATTTACACAAAGGACTGGATGTTTGCCATCACTGGATGCTTACTAGTAGCTGTGACTTAACTTGAAATATTTTCTTTTCTTTAATAAATTAGATTTGAATTAGGGTCTGCTTCTCCAGCTCTAACAGGATTATAATATTTTTAAATCCAGTCTATGTACATCAAATTAACATCAACAGATGTTCACTTTTTGGGTCAATGGACCATAGATCTTTAAACTAAGTCCTCTTTCAGCAAGCAGTCACAAAGCAGGTTTTGTGACTATATTACATTGTTAGTCATGGATAGGGAAAGAACTATTAAAATTGTTCCAGTCAAAGATTTTCAGACATCTGGCTCATGGGCCAGCAGAGTTAAATAAAAATATTAATAATAATACTGAGTGAAAATGCTAGGCTCTGTTTTCATTTACCATGACATTTTCTGGATATAACTGAAAGCTATCTAATATTCCAGCTGGGACTTTTATTTAGGGAAAGGAGAAAGCTAAAATCATAAATTACTAAATCTAGCATAAACAATGGGGAAAGGACACTTAAACATCAGAGTATGTCTAAATTTGATAGCTTCAGACAAGTAAATGCCCTTTTCATGATATATTCAGCTGTATGCTTTTTTCTTGCAAATATCTGAAGACAGACCAATGGGTGGAGACAAATGTGAAGACAGTGTTATGGTTATGGTATTGGTCAACAGGAATTTGATCTCAAATGGCTTCTGCTGAAGTAAAAAATATGAATACAGCAATGATGTGCATCCATGGGTCATTAGATGTTCAGTTATAACTAAGATGAGTTAGAAAATAGGATTTGAAATCCAAACTATTCTAACTCTCACAGACACACAAATACAGACTTTTGGTTTGGTTTCAAAGAATAAGGATAAAACAGAAGCTGAAGTCCAGATGTGGGCTTTCCCAAAACTCCAGGGTAGAGATACAGACCTTATCTCTTGATGTGGACTCAGGTCTAGTTTCAAAATGAGAGGAAAACCAGTGTAGTTTAATAATTGATATGCAAGATGCTTAAATTTACAGAACAGCACGTGGGTTAGGTATCAAAATGTCAAGGCTTCCTCAAAAATTATGACCCTCCCTCTATTCTCTTTTTTTCTCCAGCCTCCTAGTTCTTGGTGTCCTGGTTGCCTGCTGAAATAATACTACTCTCAGCTCCAAACAACAAGTTGCCTGGCTCCTGGGTTAAGCCTCTATATCTCCATAGCAAGGATGTGGAACATTTTGTGAGTTTTTCTCCTTGCCCCACTCAACTGGAGTTGTGTGTCAGTACTTGAGGTTTTTTTCCCCCTCTTCACTTGCTTTTTAGGTTAGAAAACTTAAGTAGCACTTATCACTGCACTCTGTAGGATGCAGTGGCATATGGTATGTATGTCAATACTCCCACTTTGGTGAAAATACCATGGGTCCTGAAGACTGTTCCAGGAAACTATAGTCTTAGCCTGTGTAGATGCAGTTAATGATTTTAACTAAGTTGTCTCTTCTAGCTCTCCCATTCCTACTAAGCTGAATATATCTGCACACTAGACACAGTTGCGGTGGGATAATAGTGTTATAAATGGCAGCTGGTTGCATTAATCCAAGAGGCAGCTACCAGGGACCAAGAGAGGACCTTCTGAGCAACTGAGACAGAAGCAAGCTTACAGGTAGAGGGGTCAGTGGTATTGGCAAGGGAGGGGAAATCCATTTGGAGAGATACAGGGAAAGCTCTTGGAAGCAGAGGTGACAGAGACAGAGGGAAATGCAAGTTTGTATGAAAAAGGGAGAAAGGATGGATGAAACAAAGGAGGGGGCTGGGAGGACTATAAGAGGAGGATTTAATTTTATGAGCAGATTACTGAAACTGGGGGGGATTACTCAAACTGGGACTGTGGGGGAATACAAGAGGATTTGATATGCATTTTGATAGATTTTAATTATTCATAATTTTCTCTGCCTTTTCTAATAAGGTAGCTAAACTTTACCACAATATACTTATGCTTTTCCACTGTGTGCAAGAGAGTAACAGGCCACCATGCCTCCAGCACCCTTAGCCTATTTGGAGAACTGTTCCTGACAATTTTTTTTCATGTGTCAGCAACAAGGCTTTGGCTACCCCATCTCATCATGTGTGCGCTGGTATTTGGTATGCCCTGAAG